TACATACATACATACATACTATTATTTTTATTTATTTATTTTTTCTTTGTAAACTGAGTGAATTGGTATGGAGTACGGAAGGAAATAAACAAACTTAACATATTGCAAAGCCTCTGTTCTGGGTCACTCCTCACATCTCCTCCTTTGTTTTCAGACACTGACTCCTGTCATTGGACCAGCTGGCGTTGGACGGGGTGTTGGACCCTCCCCCTGCACGAGGACAGAATGAGACAATAGCTGGGGGTGTTGGATATCATCCCTCCCCCCTCCTCTTTGTTTTCCCCTCCTACATATCCAAGAAGCATATCCATACTCACTATCTCACACCAACACACTACAAAACAATACCTTGGACTTCTGTGGCTCCCACTCTTTACTTTGTAGTGACCATGAGACTTTTAGAGGACCGCTGCTGTTGAGAACCTTCTGGGAATAAAACCCATTTCCTTTCAGCCAGTGGACACATCCTTCCAAATCCCACGGCTTTGGTGGAGCTTGATGGAAGCTCAGTAGACCATTGAATCATGAAAACACCAGAGGACCACTGGGAGTTTCCATTTGGAGTTGCATATTAATAGGCTGAAAGACTGCCAGTGAGCAAAGTAAATCTAATTCAACATGCAGCAGTCTTGAACGTCTGTTAGAATAAATGATACCTCTCCTTAGCCTTTTCATCCATCATATCTGAAGTGCCTTGTGTTTCATCAAACTTTTTACATCTCCACATATCTGATCCATCTGCCAATCCTTGAAACAATTGATTTGTGTACATATCCAGCCTTCCATATCTGTTTCATTTGTTTCTTCTCTTTGCATGCAAGTAAAACTTTAAAGTATCTGAGATAAGAGGAATGAGACCATCGTAGAGTCCAGTACCTCAAACTTATCCAACCTAAACACACCAAGACTGTTCATCTGACTCTCAAACGTGGTGCACTGCTTCCACTGAACAGCTCCGTCACCATGTACACGCTGCAGTCCAAATGGCGCTATCTAATCATGTTCTTGGGCGTCCAGTTAGTGGTCATGGCTCTTCTCTCTAGAGAGGGCTACCAGAAAAGAGTGTCATATTTTTTCCGGATTTTCCGTAAGACGGATTCTACGTTGGGACACACAATCGGTGGACGCAACCACACGGATGTTTATGCCAACCTCTCCCTTTTGGGCCCTGCTCTTAATAAAGAGGACATGCCCTACTGCCCCAAGCAGTCTCCTTTGATTGGTGAGTTTGATATCTCGCTCAGAAGTGTGTTATCAAATCTCTGATCTCTCTCACTATTGGGAATATTATATCAGTATGTTAGCCATTACAAACAGTACCTGGGAGTTTTTTCATTTTTTTAAATGAAAGCAAAGGAAAAAGAGCAGTGTGTGTGTATGTATATATTTACATACACACACTTTTATATATATATATATATATATATATGTGTGTGTGTGTGTGTGTGTGTGTGTGATTTGTTTGGACCACCTTT